AAATACTGCAACAGAAGCATTGTGATAAAAAGAAATCTGTATTGGCTACAGAGCAGCTGCCACATTTCAACAGTATCACATAAAAATTATGAAACAGCCATCAATATTATTTGCCACAGCAAATCAGGAAAGCGATTTGCTTCATGTATCTTAATTTATTTTTCTTGTATTATCATATCTGCTCCACTGTAAGAAGCCAGATAGGTTATTCCCCTCCTAAGAAAAGCCAGATGCCCTCTTTGTATCTGCCAACATACACTTCTCTATAAGCAGAAAATCAATCTGTTCACTTCTAATGAACACATTCCATAGATCCATCAAATAAAGCACTCCGGAGTGGTTAGTAACTGACCATTCTTAATAAAACTCCACAGAGAAAGAGAATGTAAAACAGTCTTAAGTCATTACTAACACATACAAGATTCTTAAGCTATATTTCTTAATATTCGGTTTGGTCCCATTTATCAAAAATCATTTTCAAACAGTGGGACTCTTAACTACTTCCTATAAATACACAGTATGCAATGCAATATGTAGCAATAATTTGCAGCAAACATAACAAAATACTGCAAAAGGAACAAAAATACTACAGAATATGGCAGAATGAATCCAAACAATGTGCTTAGGACCTTAGATTTATCAGAATTCACTGTGTCTTCATGCATGTGTACTTCCATTGCTCTGCTTTCCACAAAAGGGAGATTCCAGGCCATTTAATCATAAATTCCTGGGATGACTCTCTCTCCTTGTTTGTGGGATTTGTTTTTTAATTGTGTTTACATTCTTGTGTGTGGGTTGGGAATTTAGGTTTGTTTGTGATGAAACATCAAAGTTGAGTCCCAAATTAATACTGTGCAGTCATATTCTTTGCACCTTCCCGCAAGAGGACGATAGAAACACACACGGTAACCAAATTGTATGCAACATTAATGGGATTAAACTAATCTCCAAACCTTTATGTGATGTGCTTTTGCTTCCCCATTCAGTTTTCCTACAGTTATTTTTCCTATTGTTTGCTCATTGATTTTCTATTTTCTTTTCAAGATTTTATAAAAACGCTTTCTAAATCTTCATGTGAAATAAAAAAAAAAAGAAATTAATATTCTGTAAACATGAAAGTATTTTTAGGTGATATATCTAATTCTGTTTGTCAGAAAATGGCATTTCAATCCTGATATATGCATTGCACAGGTATGTGGCCCATAATCTTTCTCGATATAGCATCACAGCAGTTACTGTATAAATTACACCATCACACAGAGGAAATTATCAGCAGTTAGAGCATATAAAAACCCAAAGTGAGTTTGCTGTATTTTTTTATAGAGAGTCTCCTTGGTTATCAAAAGCCACATGAGTAATTTAGCAGAACTCCTAGTAAATAAAAAGTCCTGGAGTTCTGCAGAACTTTGGTGTTTCAAAATTGATAGAGAGCAAGGACCAACAGATTGTGGGGTTTGCAAGAGGTGCCATTGAAGAGACAGCAGATTGAGATTCTCTTCAACATAAAGTTATCTGATGTTATAATTTGAATGTTACCCAAGAAACTATTTCTCTCTCAAAGGTTGTGATGTTTTTCATGCAAAATTCTTACCTCTGAAACTGCATGAGCTGCTATTCAGATTTGCACAACACATTAACTGCTAGCACAACAATAGAGCAGAGCTCTATTTGTGCTATTTGTGCCTTTTGTGCCTTTGTGCCATTTGTGCTTTGCAGACTGAATATTCAGCTGTGGGTTGGGATCCTCCTTCACCAGGATCAGTTTCTTATTTAGCCACTTTGCTCTTCTAACTGCTTGTTCTGTACTAGCAGGGATGAATATCATCCATCCATAAACTCTGAATTATAAACCAGATTGGGGAACTGATCTATCTGGCCTAGAAAAAAATACATACATCTATTTTAAACGTGTTTATATATTTTAAATAAAATATATTTATAGAGATTTTCACCCAGTTTATTTTTCAGACGAGCCAGTACCCTAATGTGGTTCAGAGTTCAGCCACACAAAGAGCTGCAGACACAGCGAAGGGTTGGTGTGAGGTGTTGCAAGGGCAGGAACAGGGAGCAGGTAGGAACCAGTAATACAGCAAAGGCTTCATGTCATCAAGCCACAGCCTTATTTACGATGTGGCTGCTTTTGCCTAGGCTAGGAAAGAAATTAATTTCAGTTCCTTACGTTTATGTTAGCTCTGCAGAAAAGACCTATATCCTCCATATGTCCATTTAGTAACCATGACTCAGTGTGATTCCTTTATTGCAAAGCCAAACCAAAATTCCAGCACACTTATACAATAAACTTTCACCATATCTTAATTATATATGGGCACACTGTCCACTCAGAAAAACAGGTCAACGTACATGATAAAAATCTCCAGCGAGTGCTAACTAGACAGAATTCCTAATTTTAAAGATTTGCATCCATTTGAAATTTCCCTGGGGTTTGTCTTCCTAATACCCCAGATTCACCCACACATTTCCTGTCCTCACCAACTGAGCTGCAGGCTGCACGAAGGAGAGGCTGGTTCTGTGTGAAGGTTTAAACCTCTACCCTCAAGAGTGCTCCAGTTCCACAGAGCTTAAGCCTGTGCCTTTTTACACGTATACCAGCGTTCAATATAAATGAGGTCTGGCTTAAGGAGTACAGGCTCTGGTGTGAGGTTGGGTGTCAGTGCAGATACAGCCTGATGTCTCTGCACCAGACTCCAGCACCGGCGTTGGAGCTGGCAATGCCCTTCCAGCCATTCCACAGCTCCAGCCTATCACTGACTGCCGTTCCTTCCCAAAAAAGAGTTTAATTGCACAGTCTCAGACCAGTCAAACACATCATTGCTAAAACATTTTCAGAACAGTCTGAAGTGATGATACCATCCATCCTCCTCAGCCATCTCAGCTTTGGTGCTCCAGGGGAAATCCTACCAAACGATTAATTCAGCCTAACCAAAATCGATGGTTTTGCAAATCTAGATCACAGATCTCTGCCAAGCCCAGCAAAAATACCTGACATTTCATGTCCTGTAATAACATGGATCTTGTTGAGCAAAGATGTGTTACTGGTGTGTCTCGGTTCCATTGGATTTTCAACAATGATCTAAACAAAAAGAAGAAAAGGCCTTGTTGTATTTTCAGTAGGTGATGCATCTCCTACAGTCTCACCTTTGCAACACAAAGATCCTCTCACACACCAACAAGCACAGCCCACAGCCCCTCACTGAGAGACTTCAACAGACGGAAACAGGGAACAGAAGGATTTTGTGGGGTAGCAGAGAACCAAAAAGATTACATACGAAATTTAACACAGGATGGGACAAATCAGGCCATATCTGAAATAAAAAAATCATCCTTCCTCTCCATACCAACACTTCTTGAGTAGTCTTATATGAATAACACAGATCTCTAGCCCTGCTAAAGCAGAGAAGGTATTTTCAGGACATTGAAAGCACTTACTCCTCTCTCCATTTAGGTCTCCTTCAGCAACGATGGGGCACGCCTGAATTATCAAATGCAGACAGGTGTGTGCTGGTTCCACCTGCAATACTTATTACCTACGTTAACATACAAAGGTTGCCTTCCTTCCTCCTCTAAAACTCTGGTTTAATATTTTATTTTATTTCTTTTATTGGTGGATATGTCATCTTCTTTATTACTTCATGACCTTCTTGACTGCAGTAAGAGTAATTCTAAGGCTGTGTGATGAAACAGAGAAAGAAGTTATAATGCAGAAAACACTGTGAGTTGGGGTTTTGAGGGTTGGTTTGGGAGGATTTTGGGAGGCTAACACAGTTCTAGCTCACCGTGTAGACCCGAATGTAACCTGGCATAAAGAAAGGCACGATACGCATCCAGGAAGGTCCTTTGGTCCTAGCCTGGAGTAGTGCTAATGTAGCTTGACAGCTTTTAGACCCAACCTGATTTGTCATTTTGCTGGTTTGAAGCATGAGTTACAGGGAGCTGCCTTAATACCAACACTGGAAGTTGTTATTAACAGTTATAGTTTATATTAACAGTTTATAGTAACAGCAGAGAAATTAGCACTCTGTGGTCTTCAGTGTGTCCCTTCCCTCGCTCTTACCAGCCACAAAGCAGAGCGAAGTGCCCCACAGCATCAGGGATTCCTCCCACAGCACCACGGCCGGATCACTCATCTCCTAGACATTCACGATTCGCCCCGCCAATAAACTAGAAATGCAATCAATCACAAGCCAAATGCTTCTGAATTTTATTTCTGTTCAGCACCCAGAAGAGGGGGGAGAATGTAAACACAAAAAATAATTTCCCCTCAAATTCTATGGGTTTTTTTTTTTTTCAGCATCAGGTTTTGCTCGTTATTCTATTTTACAGGGCCTTTTTGGTGAGGCGGATGCTTAAGGCCACTTGTAGGAGAGGGTGTGAACAGAATCACCTCAGAAAGCGAGTGGAGAGATCTACTTTGCTCTTTATTCTATTTTAGGGGTTTTTTTTTGCCAGGTAGAGGTCTAAGGCACTGGTAGGAGAGGAAACACACCTGAGGGTGAGCAGGGTCACCTCAGAAAGCAAGTGGAGAGATCTGTTTTGCCCTTTATTTTTTTTTAGGGTTTTTTTTGGCCAGGTAGAGGTCTAAGGCACTGGTAGGAGAGGAAACACGCCTGAGGGTGAGCAGGATCACCTCAGAAAGCAAATGGAGAGATCCCCAAAGGAGGGAAGAGACTGATCCCCTCAGGGCCGAGGGACCCGGGATGGAGGATATTTCCCGACAGGTGAGGCCCCTAGCACCCGCCCTCCGGCACCGCGACCCGGACTGAGGCGGACTGAGACGACGGCCCGCTGAGGCGACCCGGGGCGGCCGGCCCCTGAGGGGAGCGGGAGGCCCCGGGGCGGGCGGCCGCTGAGGGGAAGAAGGTGCCCCGCGCCGCCGCGGCGCCCTCTGCCAGGGCGGGAACGGGGCGGCCGGGGGTGTGGGCGGCCCGGGGCCGGCCCGAAGAGGAGGAGGAGGAGGGGAGCCCGGCGGTGGGGAGGGGAGGGCCGTGCCGAGGCCGCGCCGGGCGGGCGACACCTGGGCGGCTGCGCTGCCTCCTCCCCTCCCTCCCTCTCACGTAGGTTTCGACTTTCTTTCTCCGCCCGGAAACTTGGTGGAGGAACCCGCGTTATTGCCGCCGTCGCAGGCCGAGTTGGCGCTGGGCTCCCCTCGCCTTCTCCCTTCCCCTTCCCGGGGGGCGAGCGAGCCCCCCTTCCCGGCGCTACAGGTGAGCGGTGCGAGGCCGGGGGAAGGCGTGAGGGGAAGCGGGGTTCCCGCCGCCGCTGAGGCGGCCGCTGAGGGGCGGGAGGCCGCGGGGGCTGGGGACGGAGGGGGACCAGCTGTGGAAGCGGCTGAGGGCGGCAGCTCCTGCCCAGCCGTCCTGCTCCCTCAGCCGAGGGTCTCTCGGCCATGACCCAGCCGGGCTGGAGAGTGTTTTGTCGTGACACAGGGCGGTAAGTAGGGCTGTGGCCGGGCAGGTGAAGGCTGCCTGCCAACCCCAAGGGTTTAACTCTTCCAAGGTCGCTCTCTGAGGCAAACAGCCCTGGGGCCTGTGCAGGGCACCCCAAACTCGGTGTTTTTAGCCACTTGTGTGGGTCGGAGGGAGGCTGTGGGGCAAAATGTCTTTGCTAGGAGATGGAGAAGCTCTAAGTTGGCAAGTTTCTGGGGCTGCGCTGGTAATTAATGCGGAAAAAAAGCCTATAAATAGAAGTTGAGATAACAGGCAAAGGAGAGCAATGTGACGGTGTGGATGTTTTGGAAATGCCTTAAAGGTAAGAAATACAGGTGATGTTAAATATGAGGTAATGCTCTGGGGAGGTTTCTAAGAGGCTTGGAAAGAAATGTTTAAGGGATACTGTGTAACTGGAATGCTTTTATTTTATTTGGGAAGTTTTTCACGCGGGGTTTAAGGCAGGGTGAGGCTGTGTGGGGCCGAAGGGACGATCCGGCTCTGCCTTGCTGCTCGGTTGTGTGCACTTGACAGCTCTCTGCTTCTGACATTAGCCTCCTTATCTGATTGAAACCCAAGAGAACAGGCAGCAGCCAGCTGATGCCAGCACCGGAGGTGGCAGGGAGAGCGGGACTGCCCCTTTCGGTGGCACTGCAGGCTTAGTTTGCTTTAAGCCATGCTTGAAGCTGCACTTCCAATTCCTTGAGTGATTTTTTATTTATTTATTTATTTTGGTCCTACTTTACCTTGCTAAAGTAAGGAGTGCCAAATGAGTATTTCCCTGTTGCTTACCAAATGAAAAAGGGTCATCTTTTTACGTCCTGCTCTGTTTTCTTTAGCCAAGGTGAAAGGCCCAGAACTGTGTAAAGGCTCCATAGGAAACACAACTCCAGCTCAAGTGCAGATAATAAGTGTTAGGGGAGGTCTCGTCTCTGCTGTGCAAAGGGTATGTCGGGACAGAGTCAGAGCATACAAACCTGGGGAGATAACAGGCAGCCCAGGGATGTTTCTGTCACTGTCACATGGCCCCAGAGTTGTCCAGTCTAATCCTGGAGACTCCACAGCAGCCCAGGGTTTGAGTGGGATGGTGTAGTTTAAAGAATTGTAGCTATCCTACTGCAGCAATGCCACTTGTGTGCTGTGCCTTTCAGGGACGGCACTGATGTTTGCCCTTGATGCTTGACTCTTTTGGCAGTTCTCCAGCAAAGAGAAAGCAGATTGTGCACATGGCTCCTTTAAAACAAAACTTCTTTCTTTTAAGTTACGCACTCAAACTCTTCTTTTACAGTATAACTAAGCAGATGTACTGTGTCTGCTGCTGAAAGAGGCTAAGTGGTAATATTTATTCCCTCCCCCAAAGGGATTTGCTCCCTGAACCAGCTCATGAAATCAGAATAGCACCAGTGCTTGTGCAGGGAAAAACAAAGGGGTCATATGGCTGAGGATGGAGCAGAGAAATGATAAACAGAAGGCCAAACTTTTATGGGGTTCACTAGCTGTTGGAAAACTCAGCTGTGCTGTATATTCACACCTTCGTTCACCTTATTTATGTGCCTGCTCTAGTATGCAAGCTTGATGCATATGTAACTCGTTTAAATAACGGAGATGCATTAACATAAAACTCAGTGAAGTGAAAGGGGAGAGAGGGACCTGTGGTGTGCAGCAAAAAAAGAACCTTGTCTGTTGAAGTTTCTTTGTCAGTTTCTGGCCAAATATATAGTGAGGGAAGCGAGCAAGAGTTAAGAAACAAACCCAAGCATATGGCCTGGGGAATAAGAGCTGTAAACAATGGAAGAAACAGCTCCAGGAGTGACCTGGCAGCTAAATGACCTCCAAAAAAACCTCATGAGGTTCAGAGATACCTGATGAAACAGGTTGAGGATTACTCAGGATAACATTAGTGCTACCTGAACGGTGATTCCAGTAATTTCAATTAGAAATTGTAGTTAATGGTTTTGTAAGCCATAGTAGTGCTGTACTTCCCTAAGTATGGTTAGTAGATGAATTTACACGTGCTTTTAAGACTGTAAAGTCTTAGACTTAAGACTATAATGAGAATAAACTTAAAAGAACCAATATAACTGCAGAATAAATTATCTGTCATTCACAAAGCACCCCCTGCTGTATTTTGTAACTCTTCAATTTCTTTTCTGCATAACAAAAAATAAATCCTGCTGCAACTGCTGTATTGATTTCAATTTAAAAATTAAGCTGCATCATTTCATTCTGATCGTGTATATCTTGCCAGAGTAGTTGCAGCTGTTGTCTTACTCACAGGCCTGAGTATGTTTTGCTGATTTAATACAAAACCCTCTTGTTTGGCTTTTCCTTCTCAGCTTACTTTAGTGGTGCTGTTCGTACAGTTGTTAGGAATTGCATTTGACAGTCCTCGTCAGCTTGTTCCCTGATTTATAACACATAAAACATTGCCCTTGGCTTAGAAATTTCTTGACGTGAATTGAGTTTGAAAATCTGAAAATATCTGGCAATTTTTCTGATACTTTGTATAAGAAATATGTATACACGAGCCAGTATCTCACAAACTATCTAAAGTGTTAGAGGGGATTTAGATGAACATGAGTAGTAGGAATTACTGTCCTGGTCCAGGAAAAAGCACTCAAGGCTGGGAGGAGGGAAATGGAATAAACCTGGAGGAATTTGGAGAGACAATCAGCGGCTTACAGGCGAAGGCTGGTTTTATGTATATATAGTGGTCCCCTGAGTTTAGAAGGTCTCTGTGCAAATTTAGTTTGAAGACTGTATTATTCTTTATTTGGAATATTCTGGAAGAGAAATACTGGAAGGGATTATGTGTTTTAAAAAAAAATGTTTTGTCTAGCTTTGCCTGGACCTTAACTCATGCAAGTTTTGTAAACAGCTGCAGCAGACTCTCTCTTTAAAAGCAGATTTTTCTGACAGTTTTTTTAACTGGGGTTGAGATAAAACTTGACCTGCTGCTCTGAGAGTTTAAGGGGCTCACCTGTGACATGAGTTGTGTTGCAGACGTTGAAAGTCCAGTAAATCATGAGCACCCCTATTTGTAAAGTTCTCAGACTTATTAACCTCCTACCCTTAGACTAATAAATAACAGATAAATTCTTCTCGCCTAGTAAGCGCTGTTGCAGCTCTCTAAAGAGACAATAAATAAATAAATAAATAAATCAGTCCCTGCCCTGGGAACCTTAGATCTCAGGATATCCTCTTTTACATTATCTCAATTGGTAGTGAACAAAAATTGTCCTATGATTATTTCGAGTAGGATACATAAAAATAAACATAATAGGTCTTCTGGGCCTTTTTGTACTAGGGATAAAAAAAAAATAATAATTAAGCTCCCTGTGAAATTATCAACTGGGGCTACTTGGCTGCTTTGCTGGAAACTGACCCTGGAGAGGAGGGGAGGTTGTCTCCCTGTTCCTACCTATGCCGGGACTTAGGGTCATTCACGGGTGGCTGAGGAAGAACGTGGCTGCTGCATTGATTTGTGGATAGTGGAAGGACTTTGGTCTGTTGTTCCAGCTCTTTTAACTGGCGAGACAGCTACGCCCATTTAAAAATTATTTTTAGAACACAGGATAATACAGCGTAATTATCAATTTATGTATATTGTGAATATGTACCCAGTAAGGTAACAATCCTTTGTAAAGACCTGTTTCTGATACCAGCTTGGACATAGCTTTAAATTAAGATTTGAGAAGAAAAAGAAACCAAACCAGAAAGCCTCTTGCAGTTTTTTCCCCCCTAGCTGTGAGGGTTGTTTGTTTTAAGACTAAAGTCAACAAGATACACCAGGAGAAATTCTGTGATGAAGAGGCATCTTAAATTACACGTGCAACTGTACTTAAGCTTATAAACCTGAAATACAGATGTCCTAAACAGCAGAATATGTCTCAAGTCTCTTAAAAATGTGCCATAATATTGTTCTGTAGATCTCTTGGGGGATGTAATTCTTAATCCAGATATTTTTTATATATATTTTTTTTTACTTCCACTATAGTGCTTGCTTACTTAGGAGCTGCCATCTGTGGTGAAGGGCGTTTCAGGTCCTGGTGGGAGCAGCAGCTCTGCCTGCCCACGGCTGCTGGCGGGAGTTTAAGGCAACTTCAAATTTACCTTCGTTCCACCCTGAGGAGCTGCAGTTTGAGAAGATGTGTTCTAGGGAATTAGGTGCTGGGCTTTTTGTTTAAATATAAGATAACTTGTTTTCTTTCTTTCCCCTTTACCATGATCTGGTGGTAAGATGGGATGCAAAGGGGAATTACAGACTTAATTATCTTTTAATTCAGCTTTTTTAGTGAGTGGGAACAAGCTTGGGCTAGAAAGTACTTTGCACTGGTTTCGATAAAATGCCCTCTTACCCTGTGAAAGGAAGTGTGGGGTAAAGTCTACTGAGTGGGGTGATACACCCTGCTCTTGCTGATGGCACCAAGGACAGGCTGGGATGGTCCAGAGCTGTTGTGAAAAAAGAGCCAGGACTGGGGGAAGTTTGATGGTCTCTCTAGAATAATGCTCTCAGCTGTGCTGTGTGTTTGTCACTTATCATTGATTTTATTTTGCAGAGTTTAGATTCCAAGTGCCTGTTATATGAAGGGCTGCTGTCACAGGTTGTGCCAAACTCTTTAACTTAAAACAGAGCACCATAAAAAAATAAAAATAAAATCAGTGCTAGTGTAACCGAGACCAGAATTTGACTTGGTGTGGGTAATGAAAAGGGCTGTGCTACTTTATGCTGCAGTAAAGCCCTAATCTGATGTTTCTGATGTTAATAACTGTGAGTG